TGCGGCTAGGACGCGAAGCGCTGCGGCCACGGGTTAGGTTAAGTTAAGACACTTCCTGTCAGACCCATGTACAAAATTGATAGGAGGGAAGGGGGCTCGGGGAGGGGTCCAAAAATCGTTCTCTAGGATTATACCAAGATCCCTGCACAAGACTAACTAGTAACTCAGTTACACAGACACTACTAAGAAGAAGAACTAAGAAGAGATAATTTGGCGGGTTTACGCAACACCGACCGGTCCCTGCCTACAAACAGCTGTTTTCAGTACAGCTTCACGTGGATTTTCAGGGGTAATCATTCGTTACTAAATAAACTTTTTAACATTTTTACTGGGTTTAGTTTTTGAACTATCAAGAATTTCAAAAATGATATCATTATTTAAGAGAAATGCGGAAAAAATAGTGTGATCGGACAGACGGTACTATTTCTTCAGTCCCACACTTCCGTCCTCAGGGGCGTACGAGGGGGGGGGCAGGCCCCCTGAACCCCCTGAAGGGGGTACTCATTAAAAAATACTCTAACATCTTACTTTGCCCTCAACTAAAAATGTTTCATTAAAAATCTTTAAACAATACCAACGAGGTTATAGTGTATAAGATCGAAGTGATGATGTAACGTTATAAATCATGATATCAAATTTATATTTACACAGACTACACTGAAGGTAGTATTGATTAAAGCTTTTTTTAATAAAACTTTTTTAAAAGCTTTAAAAATTCATGATTTATAAATCTTTGCAACCAAACTGTCAGTTTATTTCAGAAGTTAAAAACTTCATGTTTTAGCATGCTGTTTAATAGCCCACATTCAAGGGACCAGGCAGTGGCGGATATAAGGGGGGTTATTGGGGTTATTTACCCCCCCCCCTTATACCTCTTTAAACCTCACTATATATCCTACTCATTCACACACTTAATGCACTTTTAACTATTTATAACACTGTTATTTTGGTTCGCAGTATTAAAAAGTTTTTGAACAGAAATTTCTTTTTATCGAGAAGGTTCAAGCCTTTTCAGATTTAATTTTGTCGCGAGCTTTAGCGAGGGACAAAATATAATCTAAAAAGCGTGAGAACCTTCGAGATATAGAGAAAGTCCAAAAACTTTACAGCACGTTGTGCCAAAATAATAGTGTTGTATAGGTAATTTCATGAAACGTTTGTGTACATATTTCAATGGCTATTTCTAGATCAAATAAGCTTTGAAACAATAAGCAGAAGTCAAAATAAAGTTGATTTCAATTTTATTATTATTTCAATTGAAAAATAATATTTTGGAAATATCCTAAATTTTTTGGAGAAAATCCGGCAACCAATTAAAACATTATAGCACACGTGCTATAATGTACAGCTAATTTAACTTTTAACTTTTAAGATGATTACTTTATGGCACGTTAATTATGAAATTCACAATGAAGTGAGGAAGAATGATGAAGTACACAATAGTTTCATAAAAATACTTTCACACTTGCACTAATTCAAAATCATTTACTTTACTCAAGGCCCGTAACAATTTTTGTGCATGGGGGCACACAATTGAGGGGCAAAGCACTCGCACACACCCCAAAATCACTTTTATCTTTTTCATCTTAAAGATTTGACAGGGGGGCATGCGCCGTGTGTCCTCCCCCCCCCCCAGTTTTCAGGAAATTTAAAAAAGAAATTTACTTCATGACAAGAAAAATGCATTTATGCTTTAATCCTGCCATAATTTAGTTATATTTATTATACTAGGCTTTTTGGGCGCTTCGCGCCCATCATCTTTTTAAATTGTGAACATGTTATTTTTGTTTACATTTTAAAAAAAAGATAAAAAAATTTTGCGGATTTAAAAAAAAAATTCGCGGATTTTCAAGAATTAAATTTTTTTTACAAAATTAAAAACCTTTAAATCACATTTTTTTTTTATCATTCATAAACCTTTCCTGTGGTCACGTGATGTCCCACAAAAAAATTTGGGCCCGATCGGTTCAGCCGTTTTGACGTTTATTTGATACAGACAAACAAACAGACACCCAAACAGACAAGCCAAATTTATATATAGATTGCCTTCCTTATTGCAAATCTTTAAACCAACTTTAAAATATGTATTTCAACGATTTGTTTTACAACAAATATGATTTAAATACTGAAAAAATTAAATATAACTTATTTATGAACTTTCCTGCTAATTTTCAATTATTATAAGTTTTCCAAAAAATGAGAATCAAATGCAGGGGAAGAGATTTGCAAACCTTGATTAGTTCCATCCCTGTCACTTAGTGTCATGTTGGGTACAAATATTATGATCAACGTTTTAATAACTCTCCCTGTGCCGAGTCCAAATATAAATTAAAGAAACTACAGGGTGTCCCAAAAAAACATGGAATTCAGTGACAAATTGGATATCGTCTTTGTTATGAATTAGCATTGTAATACCTAATTTCAAAAGCCATAATAGTAATATGTCTGCTATAGAGTTTATTTTAAGAAAAGGGTAAAAGATGTGAAGATGTATCTATAATGTCTCCGCAAGATGAACAGTGAAGACGGACAAGTTTACTCTGTTTAAATACTGCAATTTTCTTGTTTTACTAAGTACAACCGTATGCAGTCAAAACATAAACAAACAAAATGTGAACATAGCAGTCGCAGACGAAACTCTTACAGATTACAGCTTTCTCAGTAGGTATTACTTTACTAAATCGAAGAATTATTTAAAAAGACGATATCAAATTCGTCACTGAATTCTCATGTTTTTTGGGACACTCTGTATTTCCAGAATATTATTTAGCACTACGAGAACTATACACATAAAACTATTTAATTCTTTTTATAAATAGAATTGCAACTGTGAGCAGTCGTTTATTTTCAATGAAAACCCATGCCATTTTTTAAACAATTCAAGTTTCTCCATTTTCGCACATATCACAATTTGGAATCTTGGACGCGTTTTGAAACATTATACTTTCATAATTTGAGAAATCCATTAATTCAGAACAAAACGCAATTTCATAATTAACAGAATAGCGCAAATCACTTAAAATATTTTTATCTTTTAAATTATTCTGAAATTTGATGCAACATTCATACTTCTAAATGTGGAGAATACAAATGGTTTCAAGTTTCCTCCATTTTTAAAAAAATAAAATTCCTGCATTTTTCTGTTCAATTTTATTGCAAGATTAATATTATATCTATATTAGAACTTTTCAATATGTTTTAAGTCTTCATATTTTGAAATATCAAAGCAGAATATATTTTTTACATTTTGGTTTTTTATTGTTTCATTATATAAATTTTACCGAATGCAAAAACACTTGTTTTGTTACCAAATTGTGTAAATGCTTGAAAATAGCATTGATTCAAATCTGTGAAATGTCTCGAAATCTTTTCTTCTCATCTTGAATTGAAAAATATTAACAGTTATAAAAGATAACTGTGCACATTTGACCCAAACCTTACTCTCAGTGTCAGGTCTGGGCCAAATCACGGTTTGGAACTTTCTTCCCCTGAAATAGCTGCAAAGAAAAGGCTAAATGTAAATAATTTAGGTTTGTAATAAAGAACTGAATTTTAATATATTAATCACCTATTTAAATTGAAAAAAAACGAAAATCCACTATTTTGGCGACTTAAGTACCAAAAAATACCAACCAAGTTGAGTTCTGTCTTTTATAAATATTTATCTATAAACCCTTCCAAAAATAGATAAAAGCAATAAAGAAAACTTTGAATAAAGCTTTATCACATCAATTCTTTTTTACGTAATTTTTGAATAACATAAATCGGCAGTTTATTTATTTCACATATAACATTTATTAAAATGATATTATTATCGAGAAAAAAACTAAAATATATCAATTAACTTTTTTCGTACAATACATTTTAACAATAATAAATTTTAACTAAGCCACTAAACAATTGGTTATCTATAAGGCATTGTAATTAACAAGGCAAATATGGCAATTGTACAACTTTATGTGAAAAATAATAGATATATAAATACTATTATATTCATGATTATCTAAAGGGGTTGAACCGTTATTTTATCTCAATGTATCTTGCTGCTCCATAGCCAGGGGCGTATTCAGGAATTTGTCCAGGGGGACTCGGCATAGATTTTACTGTACCAGGGGGGGCTAAAAGTGTACACCCATCGACCAAGTATCACTTATTTTTAATTTTCAATAAATTGGAATCTGGACTAATTCCTGTAAAAATGGTAACCACATTAAGAAAATCTAGGATAGAACTATAATCGAGCTTACGAAATAATCCCGCGTGAAACAAAGACGACATAGAAGTTGTCACTTAAGTCCAATGTTTATTGAGACACCCTGTATTTTCTTACCATGGTTTATTTTTATCCCTTTCAATAATCACTAACGGGGTTTACCTTCAATAAATGCGCCGTACTGTATTTATAGTATACAATTATAACAATAAAGTAAAGAAAGTGTTTTTGTGTTAGGACTGCTATGCATTAAAAACATTTCAGGATTGTAAATTGTACAACTATTTAGTAAATACTAATTTACTAAATACACTTGAAGGTTATCATGTACAGAAAATTCAAACAGCTAAACGCTTACTTTTACTGCATAATTTAAAAAAAAAACATATCACTTTATATCACATAAAGTTTGAAAATACATTATTGAACGATAGTTTAAAAAGTTTTGATTTTACGTTGACATGCAGACTGTACAGTGTACATACACTAGAGTACTAGGTTACAGGACATGCAGACTGTATAGTGTACGTTCACTAGGGTTATACATGACATGCAGGCTGTACAGTGTGCGTTTACATAGGGTACAGGAAATGCATATGTCATTATTTGGTTTCCTTTTGCATCTTTTGTCGCGTTTGATCTTAAAAACATTTCGTAACAGAAAATTTTGATCTAAAGATGTCTTAATTTTTAAGTTCTCTGTTTACAATTTTGATGACAAAAAAAAGAGTATTTCAAAAATTATCACTGATCATACGGCCGACCAAATTATTTTAGAATTTTTGCCTTTAATTCTGTCCTAATTCAGTTATTTATCAAAATATTTTTAAGAGTTTTGGATCTGAATTCAGCATACTTCCAAGAAAATGATTGTAATGATTTTAAACTATAAAACAGCAAACTATACTTATGTATATTGTACAGAAGTTTAATGACTTTAAAGCTGGGCACATTAAAATCAAGAATATGAAGAATCAATTTATTAGCCATG